GGTCAGAGCAGGGCACGTCCCTGACCCGAGCATCTCCCCAGCACCCCGATCCCAGCCTCCCTCCTCCGCCGCGGTGACGTCTGGCAGGCCCAAAAGTGGAACCGCGGTCCCTTCGCTCGGGCTAGAAAAGCCCGACCTCAGGAACGCTGCCCTGCAGACCCGGCAGTTTGTCCTTGGCTTTGGAAACCTCCGTTAAAAACGATGCCTAAAATAAAACACAAGCCAGCAAAGCCCAAATTTTACACCCAGCAGCCGCCGTCCCCCGGAGACCCCCGCAGCCGTTGCGGGATCATGCCCGAGCTCAGCCTCTCCGAAATCCCGTTTTCCACATTAAACCCCGATGCAATTTATGCCGGGCTCTGCGGAGGTCCCTCCCCGTCCCCGCGGACGGCTCACGGGACCGTCTGGCCTCGGTGCGTCTGGGCTCGGCGCAGGGGCACGGGGCCCCACGGAGGTTTCCTTGTCGGAGCGGTCTCCCTCTCAGCCTCCAACTTTCTCTTTTTCCATTAATTCATCAGCCTCCCCCCCCCACCTCAGCCGCCGCCTCGTCTGCAAATGAAAAGCCAGATGTCGCCGCACACATCTGCGCGCATCTGTGCTTGCGTTCCGAGCCGCGCAGGCTCGGGAGAATCCAACCGGGTGCTTTAACCGTCTGGTCTGGGCTTTTTTTTCAGCCGTTACCTGGATCAGACCGCTCAAAGCGAGACGCTGAGGTTGAGCAGGGCGATGCCGCCTGGAAAACGCCGTGTGAGGCTTTAACGTTGGCCGCTTGCACCCTCCTTCCTCAAAGCATCGACCTTTCCAGCTCCGGTTGGAGACATCCCGGGCAAATCGGCTGCCAAAATACCCATCAGCCGGCGGCTGCGTGCTCCTGCCTCCCGCCGGGGTTGGCCTCGTCGCCTTCCCGTCCTACCCCACTGCCCATCCCGGATACCGTAAATAGGACTCAACCATAACCAGCGGGGTTTTATGGGCCGGCGGGCAGTTTTATTCGGTTAATTATCCTGCCATGCTAATGAGGGCGCAGTTAAGCACAGTCAAAATCAAGGGCTGGCTTGACCTTCTCCCAAAGAGTGATGCAAATGTGGGAGGCAATGGGTGCTGGTGGTGGGGAGGTGGTGGGTGCTGACAAGGGGTGCTGGTGGTGGGGAGGTGATAGGGAAGCAAAACCCCCCAGCAGTTTCCAGCTTCGCTCAGCACCAAGGGACACCCAGGACGGAGCAATCTGTCCTCAGCAAAGTGACCCAGGGTCCCCCCAACCAGCCCACCCTCATTTTTGGAGCTCTAACAACTTCCCCTGTAGCTTGAACAAACACCTTAATCCTCCCGGGCTTTGAAAACGCCTGGTTATCTGATGGTGTTTGCTTCTCCCAGCTGGGTTCGGGCCAGCTCCCCCTCCTCTTGGCTCCTTGCTTGGCTGCCCGGGGCTTTTTCACAGCAATTTTGATTCAATCTTATTAAATCTGGAGCAGAACAGCAAGCGTGGGCAATTAGACAGACAATTAGGGAGCAGCTCGTTGTACAAGAGGAGCTGCCAGGACCTCCCCTCCCTGAAACGCGCTCGCGGGGCGAGTAGTGCCGTGCCTCTTGCCAGACAGGTTCCCGGCACGGCTCGGCCGATTCCTCCCTGCAACTGCAGCATTTAACGTGCCCGGAGTTTTCTCCAGATGAGGTTTTCCTCGAGGCGGTGATCCCCTCCCAGCCTTTGTCCCACCTGGAGGCCCCATTTCCCGTGCGTTCCTCAGTTGTCCCACGGGGTTGGCTTCTGTTTTGTGGCCTCCCCTCCGAAGCCCACAGCTCTAATTCCTCACTGGGTTAAACTGGGGTAAACTGGTGCCATTTTCTTGTAGCCAAGGAAGTCAAACTATCTTCTGCTTCCGCCTGATCATCTGGTCCGTTAGCTCCTTGGCCCAGCTGGTGAAGGTCGCTTGGCTGTTGCGGGCACGTAGGAAAGAGGGATGGATGGTTGGGGGGAGAGGTGGATGGATGATAACGGGAACGCATGGATGGATGGACAGATGCATGGACGGATGGTTGGAGGGAGGGAGGGATAGTTGACTGGATGGATGGTTGGGCAACTGGATGTATGGGTGGATGGACAGACGAATGGATGGATGATAATGCGGTTGGGTGGATGGATGCACACGTGGGTGGCTGGCTGGTTGGTTGGTGGGATTGACGGATGGATGGATGGATGGATGGATGGATGGATGGATGGATGGATGGATGGATTCATGAATGGATGAACAGATAAACAGATGGAGGGATGGATGGACGGACAGAGAAATAGCCCTCGTTGTCATTTGCCTCTGAACCCTGCCGTACTCCCTGCCGTAAGAGATGAGTAAAAATGAAAGCAGGCCATTACAACATGGTTCACCCTCACTCAGCCCCGGGGTTAACCCCTGACTAACCGGGGCAGGACTCATGACACCGCTCACCTGATGCACCACCACGTCAGCCGCCCCGGGGGCCACGGGGCTGTTCTCGGGGAGCCCAGAAGAGGCGTCACGGCTGATTCAGGCCTCCGTCAGCGCGGAGCACATCAGCTCCAGGCAACCAGGCTCTGCCTGGACCTGCACAAGGGAACCCTCCCTCGGCAGGTTTGACACGCTGCCAGCATCGCCATGGTGGCCCTGGGGCTGGAGAGACTGGGGGCACCCCTCTCAACCGCCCCATGCAGGGCTGGAGGCCTTTGCACAACTCCAAACTCCACCAAAATTGCCTTAAAATAGCCAAAAACAGTGTGTATCACCCCCCCTTCCGCCAGCGCCCTGCCTCTCCCCGAAACCACCGCTTTGCTGCAAGCCACAGCGCAAATCCCTTAATTAGGTGGTTCGTTAGGAGCCGGCCCCGCAAAATGCCACCGGCAGCCGGGGTGGCCCAAGGGGGCTGGCGATCCCTTCTTCTCTCCGGCACCCTGAAACTCCCCCGCCCGCTCCGCCAGGATCTGGCTGAAC